AATAGCAAGATTGTTTTTGTACTGTCAATAATTATCCAGATTGGTTGTATTCGTATTGTCTTCTCTTTATTGTTTTCAAACTAATCTACGATATTTCTATAATAAACTCTCTTGAGTTTGAGACGAAATATGTGTAGAATTTAGATTCACCGTTAGGTATCGAACGTGCGTCACTTTGATAAACAATAAATTATATTGTGAAAGTAGTTAAGTTTGCAATTGTAGACCTATTCAATACTTTTGATATAGGCCTAATTAGTTTATAGCAATTTCGATTTGTGTAATGATTATGTTTAATAATAGAAAAATAATTGTAACCATAATTATAGGCCTAAAGGTGATTGAAAATATACAGTAATATGTCACTGTTTATATAGGTGGGGAAACGCCTATTTGTGTACATAGCATTATAATAACACAAAAAGCACACACCTCCATTCACACACATCTGACCTCACACTATTGGCGTTACAAATAACTTGCACTGCACAATCACCTTACTAATTGAATACCAGTAAAACTAAAATGATTTTGAACGTTTGAACAACGTTTTTATTTTATTATTTACAGATAACACGTTGATGCGAAACAAGCATACTAAAAAAATAGTCATGAATAACGTAATACAATTAAACACCATCTTACTAACATAAATAGAGGAAATAACAAGCAAGCACAGTAATCATTAAATAACAAGTTACAATATAAAGTGAACATGTTAAGTAAAAAATGGTTAATATAAATTAGTAATAACATGGGCCTACTGAATATATTTATATATTTAAGTTTACTTTTAATTAATAGCAAACATAAGTAACTAGAGCAGTCACTCCATAAAGTACATAACAAATAAAATTACTGTATTTTCAAATTATTTATAACTTAACATTGTAATAGTATATTTATAATTATGTTTGATATTCATTTACTTATTTATTTATAAGGTGAAATTTTTAATAATTTATCCCCCTCCCTGCTGTAAAGCGAACAGAGGTTTTTTACATTATGCGCTATATAAGTTGACAATTATTATTATTATAATAATACTAAATTGATTAAAATACCGTACATATTAAACAATTACTACGATAGCTCTATCACATACGGTACTGTACAATTGAATACACTTACTAATACTGCTTGTTGTAGAAAATAAAGTTTTTTAACCTATTTTTGAAATTAATTTTGGTCGGAAATATTACAAAAAAATATCATACTACATTGTACATAAAGCAACATTTTTTTTTAAATTCTCTTCACATCCAGCAGAGAGTACACTCGCCACTTACAGGATGGAATGATGCTTTATAAACCAAGACTCTTTATGAGGCTTAGGAAGTGGATTTAGTTTTATTCGTGAGAAAAATTCCTGCTGTGACAGGAATTGAAGGTAACAATCTTAATCATTGAGCTATGCAACCGTGACTCACTAAATTAGAATCAAAAGATATTGATAAATAGTATGACAAGTAATATAACGCAAAGCTAAACAACCATCATTATACAGAAACATTATTCATTTTGATCTAATATAAAAGTAGAATAAACATATTAAAAACGTTATGAATCATCCAAATAACTATTGTTTTACATATTTATATAATAAAATACAAATGTACAAGCAAGGATTAAAAGTACATTTACTGTATTGTTCAATAATTAAAATGACAGCATTACATATTTGTAGGCATGTCCTAATAATAAAACAGAACATCCACAATATTATGCATTGCTATGTTTGAAAAGACAAATGGTAGGCACAGAGACGTTTGTGATATACCAAGTCTGCCCTCAATGTCATCTCCTCACCATGGTTTCAAAAGTTCATTAATACTAAACTTCAGGCAGTTGTAGCTCATGGGCGTTTGTATTGACGATGTCTTGATTTTTCTTGTCCTAGGAGCATGTGTTTCTTGCTTTGGTTTTTCAGTTGAGTCGTGAAAATTCGTATTAACCTTTGCTGCACGTATGACGTTGGTTGGTAAGCGTGACGCTTTTGTCCACTTTCTGTATGTGTAAAAAGAAACTGGATACTCTTCTCCATCCAAGACGACTGTACAAGGTAAATCGGACTGCCATCCATCCAGTAAGCGGTATTGGTATCTTCCAAACTTTACAATATATGAAGAAACACAGAGAACACGACGAATGTTCTTCATTGCTTTAGTTGAATGAACCTTTCTATGGCAAATGTTGCTAATGGTACGAAACAGGTCTCGGACACAACCAATGTGCTCTGGACATTTAAGTAAAGCGGTGACTACGAGTTCCTTGAACGACAAAAAATCGTCCACACTCGACTTTGGAAGCTTCTTTTCGTAAGGCATCGTGCTTGTTATAGAGTTATTAGTTAGTGTGACTAAACTGTTCTGTTTGCCTGGTATTTATATCCTGGAACCCTATTGTAGGCTTACATCAAACCGAATGTGAACCTAATACACCCATCGATTGAAATATATGCCACGCCCGTGATACGAATAAACTATAAGACACAATAAAAACAC